TCTTTCTTTCTTTCTTTCTTTCTTTCTTTCTTTCTTTCTTTCTTTCTTTCTTTCTTTCTTTCTTTCTCTTTCTCCCTTCCTTCCTTCCTTCCTTCCTTCCTTCCTTCCTTCCTTCCTTCCTTCCTCCCTCCCTCCCCCCCCCTCTCTCTCTCTCTCTCTCTTTCTTTCTTTCTTTTTTTCTTAACACATACTCCCTTAGCTCACTCTGAGCCAGTCTCTGGGCTAAATGCTGGAGACCTGGTGGTGAACAAGAAGGACACAGCCCTATCTCCACAGAGCTTACAGGCTAGCAGGGGATTCAGATGTTAAATGACACAGCCATTTGGGTACAACTGGAGCAGGCGCTAGGAAGGGGGACCTCACAGGGTTATGAGAAAGGCGTCTGGCCTTGTTTGGGGTGTGCAGAAGGGCTTTCTGTAGGAGGAGACATTTGAGCTGGGCTTCTTAGAATAGGTGGGGTTATCCAGTGAAGGGACTGGTCGTGAAGTTGAATGGGGTGGGAGTTCCTGCTGTCAACACAATGTAATGGAGAGGCCAGAACAAAAGAGGCATCATGCCTTCTAGGACAAGACAGAAGGCCAGAGTGTCTGACGAACACAGGCCCTCAGGAGAGTAGCTCAAGACCAAGGAGTGGACAGCAGCTGGATCACATAGGGCCTAAAGGCCACATTAAGGCTTTTGGTCTTAATTCTAGAGCAATGGGACTACAGTTGTTCAAGGACGGCCTCTACTGTTGAAGAGACTCTTACCAAGAGGTGGCACTTCGAGGTTTTGCTTATAATTTCCAACTTGATGAAGAACTGTCCATTGCTTGCAGTCGTAGAGCAGAGGGGATCATGGGTGGTAAGCTTATGGCATGGGTACCGGTGTGTACTCTGTTTTTATCTACTTTCCCTGGACTCCACCTGACTGATAGTCCCTGTGGAAGGAAGAGACAGAGCCATAGAATCGTGGTTGGGCCAGAGAGAGTCTGGTACACTTGAGGAACTGCAAGGAGTTATGGGAAACTCCAGGTAACCAAAGCAGCTCTGGGGCCTTGGCCCTTGCTCAGCCGGCCAGGGGCTGCAAAGCCTTTCTGCGGAATCACCAGGCCTCTTTTCTGGGCCTTCACTCCACCGTTCCACTTCAGTCCAAGGTCTACTGACCTCCCTACCTCCTCCCAACTTTCCTGATTATAGTAAGTCCAGGTTGGAATGATTTATCCATCATGTACAATTCAGCATTCAGGATGGAGAGGAGGAGGGAGGGGAGGGGAGGAGAGTGGAAGGGAAGGGAGAGACTGAAAAACTATCAATGTGTGACCTGGGCGGGAGCCCAGGACTCTTGACTCCCAGCCCAGGAATCTCTAAGAAAAACGGATTAGTATGTTTGAAGTTTTATTCTTTAAGAAGCAAGCTACAGATACCTAAAACAAAGACTCTGGATGGTGTCAACAATGGAAGAACCTGGGGAGGAGGGATTGTGGGTATTCTTCATTTTCTTTTTAAAATCTGTACTTTCTCAGCTCTGCGTAATTGGCAGGTACTACTTTGGTGATTAAAAACAGTAAAGGCAGGGGCCGGCCGAGTGGCGCAATGGTTAAGAACTCGCTTGGGATGCTAGAGGGCCCCGGTTCGGATCCCACATATGAGGGCCAGTGACACTGCCCTCCACAGCTAAGATGCTGNACACACACACACACACACACTCTCTCTCTCTCTCTCTCTCTCTCTCTCTCTCTCTCTCTCTCTCTCTCTCTCACACTCACACTCACACTCACACATGTATACACTCTTCTCCAAAGAACAAGCAATTTTCTAAGCAGGGCAGTCCATGTATATATATACCAAGCAGGGTGGTGTGGGGATTTTGTGCCTAAAGCTAACACCACTGAGCACAATTCCCATCTGTGCACAAGTAAGGCAGCCCTTTCTGGCCCTCCTGGGCCACTCCAGAATAAGATCCCACCTAACCCCTGGTCAGCCAAGGCCCATAAAAGTGTTTCTCCCCAAAACAAGAGGGGCCTGTGCCCCAAAGGCTAATTTAAAACTTTTCTTCCCCTAACGCAGAGAACAAGGCAAGCTTTGAAGTTAGTAAATTTTTTTCCCCTAAGAAAAAATTTCAAAGTCTCAGATAAGTGTTTTCGACAAATCGCTTAGGCCCCCTTCCCCTCTTTCCCCTCTAGGGGATCTCTGCAAATAGAAAGTTGTCAAGCCCAGCCCCATTTTGGGGGATGGCAGGGAGTGGGAGAGACCACCCTCCTCTCGAGGGCAAACCTTAGGGCATAAGGTTTCAACTCTTCTGTTTGCTGTTTTCCTGTTACACCCACTTCTGTGCCAGGCTTGGTGAAGGACTGTGCTGATTCTCAGATGCCAATGGAGGCTCACAATGAAGTAACCTAGGGGGTCACACAGGGACATGCTGAGCTGGGATCCAACCCAGGGCTGGCTTACCTCAGAGCCGAGAGCTCTCATGTTGAACCAGCAGCCTTTCACACAACTGCTCTCTACACAGAGTCTGTGAGTCTCATTTACCCACGACTCCCTTACTCTTGTTCTCAAGAAAGCTTCCCCTGATCTACCCTAAGTCTCTCTTGCTGTCCCACTTGTCTTGTTTCCCTTTTCCCCAAGCAGAAACACATATACCTCTGGCAGTCTCAGGCACTTCTGACCATCACCATCGCTCGGTTTCTCTCTCCTTACCCAAGCAAGAGCTCCAACCTCAAGATCGGGAGTTTCAAATAAAATGTTCATTTCAAGCCTTCCCCTGCTCCCACTCCCTATTTCAACACTGGCTTCTCTCCACCTCCTCCTGAGGTCTCCTTGGCCCTGATCTGCTTGCCTTTGTGCCCCCCCACCCTGGGTGTGGCTTTCTCTTCCATGTTAGCAAGTACACATTCTTCATCATCTAATATTTTCAATCTTATTAACATAAGTTAAGTCATATAATTCCACCCCTTCTTTCCACCTGCTCTGCTCTAGGTTCCCAGGGGCGCCTGCCATGGGTAATGTCCTGCAGAAGTGATGGTTTCTGTCTGTCTAGGGCAATGGCAAGAATTTAAGTTCTCAGGCCTGAAAGATGTGCCTTGAATTTGGCCTTGGTCACTTACCAACTCTGTAGCTTTGATGGAGTTTCTGACCCTATCTGGGAATCAGTTTCCTTGTCTCTCGCTCTCTTCTCATTGGATTCTCGTTTCATTTATTTCAAAAATATTTCCTTTCTGAGTGTGATGTACATTGATATCAGGCATTGCGTCCCTACCTTCAGCTTAGTAGCATACAATGAAGCAGGTAAGGCATCTCGTGTGTGTGCTGACACAAACTAGGCACTCGGTAAATGTGGGCTGCCCCCTCCCTCTTCAGAACAGAAAAGATCTCTTTATATTTATTTCATTGGAAAAATTCCCGTTTCTTTGCAGTTTCCCAGGAACAAGCAGTCTCTGCTGTGGTTTTGCAAATTAGTACATCCCTCTGCAGATGGCAGGACTGATCAGAGAAGTACACCATGGGTACAAAGTCACATGGCAGGGTGGTGGGTGGGTGACAAGGATGGTGCCACGTTGAGTTGGAAAACTATTTCCCGTCACGAATATGTCCCCTTCCGACTTGCTTAGGTACTTTCAGGCCTTGCAGAGCTCATGTTCTCCATCTTGGCGTGCCTACCTTTCTCCAGCTTACAACCGCTCAGGTGAGAAAGAAAATGTATTAACTTGTGTATCTGGGATGTCCAAGGGCAATTCTGTCTTCTATCTCTTTTCTGCCTCCCTCTCTCTGTTGGTTTGAGTCCACAGCTGACCTTCTTCATGTGATAAGAAAGATGTCCCATGGCCAGCCCTAATTCCGTTTCTGACTCACTTAGCACCTCTGTAGGAAAGATCTTCTTTCCTGGTAGATTTAGCACAAAAACCCAGGGAAAGCCTCTGATTGGCCCTGCCTGATCACGTGCGTATCTCAGAACTAGTAGCTGTAGAGGTAGGAATGAGTGTTCTCACAGGGCATGTGTCTACCTTTGGCAGGGTTCAGCTCACCAGAATCTCACAGAATGAATTTCCTACTGGAAAGAGGAGTGTGTAATGGAAATTACACACCCCTCCACATTTACATTTCCAATGTAATGGAAAGGGCTGTGAGACAAACAAAAATAGCAGGCATTGCCCGTCAGAGCCCTAACTTCCAAAGCCTCAGTGCTATACCCACAGCTCCTGGCAGTGTCTCTGCCTCTTGTTCAGAGAAGCTACAGGGAGAAAAGAACATGGTTGTTGGGGTCACGTGGATATAGGTACAAATGGTCATTCTGTACCCCAAACTGTGGGTATGGAACTGATCAAATTCTCTAATCCATTGGAAGCTCAATTGCCTCACCTATAAAATGGGGATAACGGTTCCGACCTTGCAGATTTTGAGGATTAAACAAGCCAACCACCGAGACTAGTGCTTGGCATAGAAGAGATAATTAATCTACTTATGATCTCCTAGCCTTCGGTTCCTAACCTCCAGCTTGGCTTCTTGGCTCCCAACTCCTGGACCCAGACCAGATCTGTTCATTCTTGGGGGCCCACCTGCTCCTTCTGCCCAGACTGAATTCAGAGAGGGGCTCACTCTGATGAAGTGGAAGAGGGTCTCACCAGGAGATGGTGCATGTGGTTTTGTGTTTGTTTGTTGTTTCCATCCTGATAATAAATGTGCAAGTTTTACACTGTCGCCGAACAAATAAAGCCTTGACATACGGGCCTCTGTTTGTGTGCCTATTTAATTAGCCATGTTTCATGTTCCATCATCTTTCTATTGCTAAGAATGCTACTTCTCAAGAACTCTCTCTCTCTCTCTCTCTCTCTCTCTCTCTCTCTCTCTCTCTTTCTCTCTCTTTCCCTTTCTTTCTTTCTTTCTTTCTTTCTTTCTTTCTTTCTTTCTTTCTTTCTTTCTTTCTTTCTTTCTTT